GTTTGATTTAATTCCCTGCCACACTCCCACAACTGTGTTTCTGCATGTTTCTATATATATCACCCCTTTGAGAAGGCCACGCAAAATCCTAAATTCTCCTCAAAGCTAACATTTTTATTATTAAATTTGTAATGGTTCCTGGTTTTTTAAAATTTATTTTACCCTAGACCAGCACATCAAAATAATGAGGTTTTGCTTATTCTTTGGTATGTGATGAATTTCTACTAAATCTTCTGGGATGAAACAATGAAAGGAGGGGAAAGAAGGTGCAAGGAATTATCAATATTGGCTGATATCTTCCCTTTTCAGATACTGAAATTGCTGAGATTTGCTATGGCTTGCACTTTCGGTCAACCCTCTGTACATTTCAATCCCACTGTCGCCTTGTTATTAGCTGTAAGGTTAAGACCTGCAGCTTGCTCAGACTGACAAGCTGGAAAGCTATTTTGCCGTGAGCTTTTCCTCCACCTCCAGTGCAATACGATGACCATTTAAGTATGAACAAGCTCAATCTTTTGACATATGTCAAGAATCCTGGTGTTCCTTTAGCACATCGGTTCTTAGCGTATTGTCTCCCTTTTTCTGCTGGATTGGAAGTACTTCCTGCAAGGGTCATTGCAGGTTACCTTAATATAGGTACTTTCCAGGCATATATTTTGCTTAAGGGCCTTGCAGTGCTCCTCCATGTGCTCACCACTTGCCACTGTAGTACTACAATCTGCCACACTGAAGTGTTCCCAGGAGCTGTGCGAGAAACACGCTGACATGTCAAACCCTCTTTCATGGACAAGATCTTCCACAGATCTTCTGCCACTTCTCACTTGAGGATCTTTTTGTCCTCCAAAGCTCCCTACATTATCCATCAGACTTGTCCTTCTCTGTCTGCTTGTCTTTCTCTTTTATTTTACGAAAGCTCTTGTAGAAATCCCTAATGTCCACACTGAATAGTCCCTTGCTTTTGAAGATCTCTTCAGTAGCTTTTAGCATATGATCCATGTCCTGTAGACTTTATAATCTCTCACTGCTATCAGTGTTACCCTTCTCATAGACTTGCTATCTTCACCAGTGCCAGAATCCCACAGTGTCTGTTTCATCTGACACATGCAAAAACTGAATTATGTAAAGAAGGATTTGGGACAAAAAAATACAYGATTTTGGTTCAGAATTGCAAGGCTTTTTATGTTACCCTCCCACAGAAGCTAAAGTAAATTTGTGTCAGATCCAAGTGTCTTGGGGTTGGTCACAAAACTTGTGTAAAGGGTCAGACAAATGGACTCCATGGAGAAGGAAGATGCTGGGGGAGGAATCACATTCACATCAGACTGGTGAATATTCTCCAACCGACAACATTTGGAGATAACACAAGCAAAGCTGACATGTTTGCTTATGGGATGCACACATTCCCTAGCAGATATAGAAGTCAATGGCTCTCATTTTTTATTTTAACAAAACTCAGCCTTTCAGCTAATGTAGTAGCAAGGTTTCATACAGAAAATGGTAAGTTAGAGAGGCAGGTGATGGCAGACACCTATATTCTTTTTTTCTTGTAAAACATGGAACAGAATTGACTTTTTTTTTTATGGGTAACTTAGAGCATGTCCTATAGCACCACCTAGCAGGCTAATTTAAAAGTGATCTATAACCCTAGATCTTTGACTATAATGATGAGCTTATGCAACAGAAAAAGGGGGCGCTTAGGACTTCTGGCTTCCACTCTCTTAACAGCTGGCTCTGGAAACCACAGTCATGCCAACCGGATGGTTATTAAAGCTGGGATTTCTCTTTTTTCAATGATCTTATTTATTATGAAGCATTTATGAGAAACCACAGTACAAAAGGTAGTATTCTGCCAGCCTTATGASTTTTTACATAAAAAATATAGGTCTCTAGATGGATAGTACAGAATGCAGCAGCACTATCCAGAAAGCAAACCACAAACCCACCCAACCCTCTCATAGCGTATGTAAGTCTTAGTGATTCTAAGAGTTAAAAGGCAGGCTTTCTAAATCCATCACCATCACACTAAGTTGGAGTCTAGTCTTAAGGATTCCAGTGTCATGTGCAAGCATTTCTGCTTTAAACATCAGTATGGAGTACAAACGACAACAGCTCTTCATGGACGGTAAGTTTTGGCAGATGACGGAGCTGCAGCCCCACAGTTCTGACAGCTCTCTGCGGCGGAGAGGTTCCCCTTCCTCTCCTTTCTTCTGGCTGCCTCCCATCTTGTTGTAACAAGTAACCCTGGCACTTTACAGACTCTTCCATGATCCTATTCATCTGGTGTCGAATGATATTTTTATTTTTATTTTTATTTTTTGTTTTTGTTTTTGTTTTTGTTTTTGTTTTTATTTTTATTTTTATTTTTGTCTGTTTTCTGATGGTAGTGAGTTAAAAGCTCACCAAAAAAAAAAAAGTGATAAATGCCAGTTCTGATAAACAGTAAGTGGCTCAGAGGGATACTGATGAGTGGGGGAAGTGGGATATTTTCCTGCACTTTTCCCTTTGGGTGGCAGCAAACTATTAATTTGTATACCTTGCCAATAGGCAAGAGAGCCTGTCTGCTGGTGTCCACCARCCCAGGTAAGACTCTGGAGGGAACTGAAGGTGCTTTCTGAAACACTGGTAAGTTTTACAAGTCAGTTGTGGAGCTGGTAAGGCAGGGTACAGGACWTTATCTTGGAACAAGCATTAGGTAAAGGCTCCTGCATGGACTTTGGGACAGGCTGATTTCAAATGTTCCCTTCAAATCACACGTTCTCATGGCAGTTTAAGCCAAGGCATGTGCCTCCTTCCTTAGGCAGACCCTGGAGCGTGTACAGCCAGTTAGGGAGTTAAGCTGGGCAAAAGCTTTTATATTTTAAATAAATGCCCAACTCAGGGGAAGGTACTGAAGGTATTTAAAGAAGTGTGCAGCTCTGGGAACCCCCATCCTTTACAATCCAACAGAACAGGACTTCCTACTACTGTAGACCTTTCCAGGGGCTTTTCCAGAGATTCCAAGGCCAGGAAAATACATTCACACAGGAACTACCCTGGCTATCTTCTGCTCTGAGCAAACCTCAACTTAGAAAAATACAAAACAATAACCACGTGTGTAATTTTCCTGGATGTTGGAGAAAACAAGCCACAAGCGATTGATGTTAGGTAGGCCAGTTCTCTGCTAGGTGCTCCCGCACCGTAGTGGAAGGGCTCTCTTAATAATATATAGTATGTATTGTATGTATATGTATTTTCAGCTGCTGAAACACGTTATTTGTGCGAGGATTGAGTGGTTGGACTTCTGGTCAGTCAGTTCTCCCAACAGCCCGAGTGGGCCCCATGTTCCCATTTTCCCTCAGGACTCTGCACGTTTTGCCTCTGGATGCCACACACAGCATGGGCTCCCTTCATCCCTGCTCCCCCCAGGAGCACGCTCAGSCCAGACCAGGCTGAAACCCAAGTGTTCCTGTTTTAAACGCTAATGAAACGCTCCTGCTTTCTGCAACTGTGGAAAAGCGACACTTCGGTGCTGTGCTGAGGCTTAAAAATGAAGGAAAATACAAGCAGAGCCGAGCCAGCCCTAGTGCTACCGCAGCTGCGGCTTCCCCGGAGCGGCGGGGCCGGGACCCGGCGACTGTCCCCGTTAAAAGCGGAGCCAGGGCGGTCGGGAGTCCCCAGCACGGSCCGGGCCGGGCCGGCTTCCCCCGCCCCGCGGCCGCCATGTCGCGGCGCGCCCGCCCCTGCCCGCCCCTCGGCGCCGCTTTCCGGGCTCGGCTGCGCCGCCGCCTCGGTAGGTGCCGGGTTTGATCCGGGTTTGATCCGGGTCTCGTTCTGACCTTGAGCTCTGCGGGCGGGACCGTCTCCCCGCTTCATTTCTCGAGTTATAATTTAAAGTTTTAAGCCAGGAGGGCGCCTTGGTGGCCCTGGTGTTCGTGTGGTGGTGGTGGCAGTGGGAAAGGAGGGTATTTTTCTTTAAATGGGAGATACATGAATATATGCGTATTTATACAAAATATATTCTTTATATATTCAAGTGGTAGGGTCAAAACTAGGCCGGTTCTGCAGCRGTTTTCATGACCGGTGTGCAGAGGCCACAGGGGCTTCTGCATGGTAGCCCAGTGGTCCTGGGTTTGCAGGGAAYTGTCTGTGTTCTCTGCCTTTTATATTTGCGAATAAATCACATGAGACTCATGAATAARAATAAATGTGGCCCATAAAGTTGGCGGGGGGGGGTGAGCTAAGGATCTGGGCTTAACTAGGGACAAAGTCTGAAAACAAGAGGGCTGAAACCATGCTAAGACTAGTTCTCTTTTTCTTTCTTTCTTTTCTTTTTTTTTTTCTTTTTTTTTTTTTTTTTTTTTTTTTTTTTTTTTTTTTTTTTTAACATTGACTGTCATGAGAAGATGAAGCGATTCTCTGATGGTATTTCCTGCTTATTCTCGCAATAGGTATGTGATATGACTATAGGGCTTAGTCCCATTAAGGATATACCATGGATTGCCAGGGGTCTATCCGGAAAGGTCTGAGACCAAGGACTGGGGCAGCTGTTAAAATTCTCCTGAGTGAACCAGGAGAAAGGAAGCGCCCTGTGCTGGGGAGCTGGTGCCTGTGCCCTGGAGGTGGATCCCGTTATTTGGGCTGTTTGGGAGATGTGTGTAGGTAAACACAGCTCTTCCTGTATACAACCTGTATTACTATAACTTTCTGGGTTTTAGCTCCTCTCCTAAGGATGTTTTCTCCCAAAATTGGGTTTCCTGCAAGCTCTGGTCTCCTTAGGATTTTTTTTTTTTTTTTTTTTTTAAGCTTAAGTGATTCTGTCAAGCAAATCACCACCTCCAGTTTTCAGCAGCATGTAGGCAAGCCATCACGTATCGCACCGAGACACATACCTCATACCATTGCATACTTCCATGCATCACTGTTTTTATTAGGCGCTGCGTTTTRTTAAGAACTCTCTATGAGTTCAGAGCAGTACAAACATTAAACATGATTATTCCCCCCCTGGTGAATTTGCAGCCTAAAAGAACTTTGTAGGAATTATAACAACATACCATTAAAATATCACCTTTAATTTAATCCTTTTTTGTTTCTCTGTGGTTAATACTCTTTGCTGTTGATGGTGCCTGGTGTATCCTGGTGTTACAGCCCCCAGTTGTCCGCTCTGCCCTTCTGTGGGAGGTTGTTGTTCAGCATAAGGGCGAGCAAAGAACATATGTCTGTGCTTCAGCTGCTGCCAGACAAGGCCAACAGCATAGCTGAGACCCACCTTTGATGGCCCTGCACACTAAGACTTTGGTTGTTGAAGCAGAGCACGCCTCCCTTCTGCCACCTCGCCTTCCTGTAAGGACAGCTGGAAATAGTCAAGCCTTCAACAGCTGCAACAAGATCCTCCAAAGCTCTTGTGTTAAAGCCCTGGAAGAAGGAACTTTGGAAAATGCAAAGGGGGTCACGGGCACACAATTGTCAGTGGTGTCTGTTGGGTTTAGGTGCCTTAATTYGTTTTTATGGTAGCATCATTTTAGATGAGAGTTCTGTAGTCCTGGGGATTTTTTGAGGAGATTGGAGCTTTCCTGGGCAGAAAACATCTTATGGCTTGGACCATAAAAGGAACTGATACTCCCTAAGGGAAGCGGGACTCTTGAACTGAAGAAGTTGGCAGGTTTGAAAGTCTTTATGTTTATCTACTTATTTAAACAGTCACAAGATAGTCTTCTGCCCTGAAACAATTTCTGTTCTGGTTTCTGCTCTGAATTATATAGATATTATTTGTCAGACAAATTATTTCAGAGCAAATATTTAACAGTTACAATTTAAAAAACATTTCTTGATTTTTTTTTTTATTTTATTTTTTTTCCTGAGTTAACTAGAATCACTGCAAGGAAGTTGAAATCTGATAAATTAGAAACAACACAAACCACTTTTCACTTTTTCACTTTTTAATTTTTTATTATTATTTTTTAGGTTATGAGGTTGTTTAACTATTAGAGCTGACTCCAATGGCAAATTCTGTCTCCTGAAATCTTCAGATTAAGGCATGGTCCTATTTTGGGTATTGTATTTTAGTTGAGTTACTGAGTTCAGTAGCTGGAGTTACTGAGGTCAGTATTGAKGTACTTAGGGAAACTCTTGGAGCTGCATGATAGAGGAGGTTAGAGTAGATTAACCAAGTTAATGGCTTTTTCTCCTCTTTAGTGTCTCTGTATGTCTCATGGAATGCACCAGTGCTGGAATTGTGCTGGGAAAAGATGCATGAGTATGTTGAGTAAATATCAGATGTATTTTAATTCCTGTGGGAGGAGGAAATATGKTGGGATTTTTCTTTCTTACAATAAATTGACTTACTGGAAAAGATGAATAAACTAAGTCTTTATATCAATTATGTTATCTTCTGAAGCCCACAAATGAATATCACCTTCTTTGCAGAGGTATTTTATATTCCCTTTATGTAGAAGAGCGTTTTGTCAATTATTATTGTGGATTCTCACAGATGTTTTGTTTTTAAAATCTTACAGAGCCAAGAGACCCATTTATGCATACTTTAATTCCTGGTTTTGTGTCCTAAACAGGTTAGGATCTGGCTATGGGAGCACGGTTTCTGCTGAAGGCATCTGCATGGGTTAAGAAGCACAAGACCCCTCTCTTGGCAGTTTCTTGCATGGGACTATTTGGTGCTAACCTTTCCTACCATGTGTTTCCTGAGCAGACGTTCAAACTGTTGCATGAGTGCTGGTCAGATGGACAACCAGCTAAGCTTTCCCAGAGACTCCAGGACGTCTTTCACGATGTCCTTCAAGATACTCATGTGAAATCCACAAACTCCTACCAGGCCTTTGCAGCTTCTGGCTTCCACCCAGTGAGTGCTGGAATCCCGTGGCTCCCTGCGGGCTCTTTGGTGGGCCTGCCTCCTAATTTTGATAGCACAGCTGAGGATAAAAAGGGAATAGTCAACCACGTGGTGGTGATCAATGGCAAGCAAGTAGACTGGGAGAGCAGAGAAGGTGTTGCTTTGAGGGAGGCTCTGACATTTTCACCCGAAGCTCAGAAATTTGCTATTGCCAGAGAAGTTGTGTATTTGCGGAATGGCAGCCCTTTGGTAAATGCAGCTGTGGCTCCAGCTTGCTTAGCTGGTACATATTTCGGTGGGATAGCTGTAAAGATAGTTCTGGGTTTAAATCCTGGCCCCCTGATATTTCGCAGCGTCTGTAACCTCCTAGTTGCTACCACTGGACTAATTTGCTATTATGTTTCTTCTGATGCTGTGACCCATTACTTAGACTGCAAGGCTGACAGAAAAGCAGCTACCATTTCCAAAGACTATGCCAGGGGTGGGGTGGAATTTTATGACAGGATCTTGTCCCGCAACAGGATTCTTCGTACCCTGATGGGCAAACAAGGAGTAAAAGTTTATGCCCCTAGTGGTAACCTTTTCCCAAGACACTGGTTCAGAATGAAGTATACCCCATACACGTACCGAAGAGATTTGATTGTTAATATTTTAAGAGATCTCAAGGCATAGGAAGAAGCAATTGAATCTTTAACTTGTGAATTATGTATTCTTTTGGAACAGTGCTGCACTGCCTTTTTTTTTTTTCTCCTGTATCTTCATTAGAATTTGGGGTTTTTTTTGCATATGGTTTAGAAAGAGCTATCGCACATTCTGTGAATAAAGAATTCTCTCTTGAAATATTGAAGACTTACTTCAGAAGTCCTCTATTCTGTGTGCATCTTAAATTACAAAGCCTTTCTGAAAGAACTTCACATGCTCCCTGGGTGTTCTGTTTTTCTATTCTGCTCTGTTTTCCTATCAGTTGCAGTCTGGAAAGTGGAAAAGGTCATGTCCAACACGGAGTTTTGACCRGATTATAATTCAAAATAGAGTATTTGTGTGTACAATTGTCATTTCTCCTGTGCTACAACCCAAAGATGCTTTAAAATCTATAGACAGTGTCACACTGGTATATGAATTCCAAGGTATGGTGCTTTTGTTCTGTGTTAATTGTWATTTTGTGTAAGATCTTAACGCTGTAGCTACCCTCTACTGTGGGATGGTGGTTTTCTTACAAGTAGGATAAACATGTTCAGGAGAGGGTTTTATGTTTGCTTTGGTAGGGGTTTTGTTTTGTTTCAAAATACCTGCTGACGTATGCCAACTTTCGTGCTGAGGAAGGCAGGGCAGGGAAGTGTGGCTGTCCCTTGGCGGAATCGGTGAGTCTGCCGTGGGGAGCATGTCCTGCTGAAGGATGTGGTTCTCCTCGTTCAGCCCTGCTGCAAGAGACAAGCTTTGTCCAGGACCTGTAATCTGGTGGGCTGATCTCTAAAGCAGGAGCAGCACTTCCCTCCTCAGCCTCCCCTTGATGTTTTTAGATGTGCTGCAAGGTCAAGGCTCTCTAACTTTGCAGGTTCCTGTTTTTACTTTTCTCTAATAGCCATACTACCAGCCCAGTAACATGTGAACAGTTTTGTTCTTTACTCACCTCTGTTCTTCTAACAGAAGAAAACTGTTGTATTGTTTTGTCTTCTCTATCACAGAGGTACCAAATATCCTCTCTGCCMTCATTATGTCCCTCCTTCATTGACCATCATATAATATTGTTGTGTTTGCCCCAAACATCCCTGATTCCATTTGCCCTTTGAATTGCATAGTGATGAGGTTGGTGGGCTGGCTCCTGAAGCACTAATGTTGCTTAATAACACTAAAATCGTATAAAGGTTGTTTGTCTTCTGCTGAAGAAATCAGGGTCACGGCTGGTTTTCTAGCTCACCAGACCACCACTTACCAGCTGCAGTTGTCCTCGAGGCACTAAATTGTGAGATACCTTTTAACTGCATTCTGGCTGTGGGGCAAAAGGATATTGTTCTTGTAACCTCTGTGAAAGTTTGACCAAAAACCTCCAAGTCCTTCAGATAAAAGGGGATTATTAGCCTAAAGCACTGAAAGATGCAGCCTCGGTTTTATTCWACTTTTCCATATAAATTCCAAGCAAAGGGTCAGTATAAAGGTTTACTGCGAGTGTTCTAGTGGCTCAAGATTGGAATATGACTCCTGTTTTGTATAGACTGTGAATTTGATTGATCCCAAGTTTCTCCTTCAGGCAGCTCTGAACTCCATGAAATGGTTAGGGGTAAAAAAGCCCGTGGGCCGAGTTATGTGGTTTGAGTAGCTGCTGCTGCTGCGTAAAGTTTGCAGAGAGGAAGGAGAAACCTTTCAGATTTATAGCAGCAGCAGTTTAAACAAAATAAAATTAATCTGCTTGCTTCTTATAGCTCTTTACTGCTGCTTTTCATCAAGGTGTTGGCAGCCAGTGCCATTATTTACYGTTCTCAGATTGAAAAGCCTGAGTGATGCTAATGGATTTTGCAGTTGTGTGCTCTGTTTTGCCCTTACGACCGAATTCTCCAAGAAGTCCCACATACTTGTAAACACTGTGTCCCATTTATCCTTCTTTTACCTTGCTATGCCATATCTGTCGATAAAGGGAGGGCTGGCTGCTGGTTTTAAGGCACATGTGCCTGTTKTAGTTTCCTTTTGCAAGGGCAGTCCCTACGTATCTGCATCTCTAGACAGTCAAGTTTCTATTCTGTAGCCATCCATGTTAATCTGGAAGCTGGCAAATACCATCTTTATAAGGGAATTGCGAGTCCAAATCAAAGCTGCTGATCAGGATTTGCCTGAACTTCCCTGTGAGGGTTGGGCTGCCCTGCAAAAGGTTTCTGTCATGTTTCTGCCCTCCAGTACCTGCAAGATGAGCCACGCTGTTTGGAAAGCAAGCACCTCACAGTTGGAATACATGACCAGGAAAATACTCGCACAGTCTCTTAGTGCAAATGTTTTTCTGCAAGTGAAAATTTGGTGAAGTGAAATAGAAATTCCACCTACTGGTCACAGAATTGGGTCTGCTTTTGAGAGTATGGTAAGAATAAACCTGTTGGAATTACATGTGGAAAAGGTGGTTCAGATCATGCTCTTGTGTCAGATGAGGAAAAGCAAATCAGGGAGGTCACCCATGAGAATTCAGGTGAATCAGCTGGTGAATAGAATTGTAGAGAAATCTGTCAGCTTTTCAGCTGAAAATGAGGATTTTTAGTAACAACTGGCTTCTCTTGCAGTGCTCTTAGGTAAAATTCATGCATGTTTTATGTGTAGAAAAGCAATAAAAATGTTAAGCAAAGGGTATCAGTAGGAGAAATGGGTTATAAGGATTCTAAATGGGGAAAAAGAAGTAGAAAAATCAAGGTGTGAATGAAGTAATGAACTCTCACAAAAAAAGATATGACCTGCAAAAATGTAGCTGTGTTTCAATCTGATACAGTGTAGTGATTAAAGCATGAAATATCAGTAGCAAATGATGAGAATGAGTTGCTAGTTTAAGTTTATACACAGCGAGTCATGTAATATTTGCTGCTGGATGATGTTCTGGTGGAAAATGCCGCAGGAGGCGAGAGCCCCCCAGGTGCTTTCCTCAGATTCCCCTGCCACGCCAGAAATGTGAGATGGGACCTGTGTGTGTGGTTTCTCAATCTAATAATTGCAGTTCTGCATSATGGAGATGCCTTCAGATGATTTAATGATCGTTAATGGAAAGTTATCAGAAACAGAACRAGGCTAAGGGCTAGAGAGTTTTCTGAAAGAAAAGCGAACTGTAGGAATTGCCTGATTTTAGGTTATTTCTGACTGATGACATACGTGAACATGGAATCTCTGCCGCTGCCCTCCTTTGGTGGGCCAGGCTCAAATGCTGCAGCTGAAGAGAGCTGCTGTGGGGACCTTGTGCCTCTTGTAGCCTACAGGGAAACGCGACTGCAGGGGTGGCTTCCAAGAGAAGTGTCCGGGCAGGTTGCATAGGTCTGATGAATGATGCCCATGGTATTGCCGTTCAGTGGAAGCGTGGAGTTAGCTTGGAAAATAGCCCATCTTAACGCCCTAAATGTTCTTATCAGCCTGTTTGTGTTTGTGCATGTGATGGGTAAGATGGAGAGAGCTCTGCCTGCTAAGGGGGGGACAGAGGAAGCTGCTGSTTTCGTTGTGCCCGTGGCCGCAGCGGCTGTGAAAAAACCACTGAGACCAAGTGTGGGGCGGGTGGAAGAAGTGAATTTAAAAGTGTGAATCAAGTCAGTACTTTCTCACTGAATCACAGGCAACTTCTCGTTAGAGGAACAAATGCATAAAATCCATACTGCTGTATACAGGCATCACAGGCACCATTGAAACAACTGCAGGCACCTTCACTATGCGGAAATGCAATTCCTGGCCAGCAGCAGACACTGCCCCGAGTATGGGGGCCACATCCTATGAGTGTTGTGTGCTCCTGCCCATTAAAGCTTCATGGAGCAGGTGTCATTACATTAATATAAAAAGGATTAAGTTGCAGCCAACCTGCCTTGCACACATGCACCAGATCCCCCTTGATTTCTCATTCATCCTAGCTGAAAAGGTATTTAAGTGTAAGGCAGAATGCACTGGGAAGTAGATGAATGCTAATGTGGGAAGATGTAATGAAGATTGCAGAGCAAGGAGAACACTTTCAAGAAAAAGAAGAGAGCTGAATTTGACTGTTATCAAAACTGGACTTAAGAATAGAGAAAATAACATAGGCTGAAATGCTATAAAAAAAATGAATTTTTCTGAGCTGAAAAATGGCTTGTGGCTTTTAGTTTTTCTAGACTGCTTCTTCACTGAGAATATCTCAGTTTGTTTAGCTAAAGCAAGTATATTGGAGCTGCTCCGTCTGCCAGAGCTGCAAAGTGGAGACAACAGTAATGACTTGGCTAGAAATCTGTACTACTTTGCTATCTAGAAAAAAAAATGCCTTTTTTTTTTTTTTTTTAATGAGCCAAACTCCAAACCTCATAAAGCAGAAATGGAAATATCCCAATTCTTAAAACATCTCTGCAGTGGGGAGTTCTCAGTGCTCTTAGTCGGACAGCGGRCAGTTCTCAGTGCTCTTATTTGAACTACATTTACCAAGTGTTAACGGCTGCTTCCGTGAATAAGTTGTGTGGCCGTGCTATTTCTGCTGTAGATGACAAGCAAATTATCAATGCTAATTAGGATGACCAAGAGTTACCCTGTATTTAGAAATGRTTAGACACTGTGAGCCTGAGCCAAGATTCGCAATTTGGACAGTTCTTACACAGGGAACCTTAAAAAGGGATGTGCAACATCCAAACAATTTTTCCATGGTACATGGCTAGTAGTGTATGGACAGACCTGCTAGCTACTGGTAACTTTGTATGATGAGGTTTCCCTTCCTTTCCTTCCCTTTTTGCTGTGTTCCTCTCTTTGCCTGCGCTCCTGCTGACTCACCTCATCCTGCAAGCCGCTTCATCTCTTCCCAACAGGATTTCTGAACTTTTAAAGCATTTGCTGCTTCCACTTTCCATTGTGAATACTGGTCAAGGATCATAATAGCTCAAACATCTCATCTGTTTTACCAGTTTTTAATCTGCATGGTTTTACAGTGAAAAATGCCCTTGACTAATGGAAACATATACGTTGTGCTTAACTTTCGTGTTTTGTGTTAAAAGAAATTTAATACTGTTTCTGAATGTGCCATTTAGCATCATTTTTGAACAATGTATTTCTTTCTCACAGTTCTTGACAGTTGGTTCACTTGTGATCTTAATATCATTTGCCTCTGTCAAATTGAAGATGCTGCTACCCTTTCTGAGCTCTTAAAAAATTTGTTTCCTGTTCCTGAAGACTGCAGGGAATTTCATATACTTTTATGATGGGGTGATGTACTGTGACAGGAGAAATA